ACCCACTGTATTCGTTCATTCATTCATCCACTCACAACTGTTTAGGAGGCCTTGCCTTGAGTCAAGCTGGGCCCAAGGAACGCGCGAAGACAGAAGCCGCCCCAGTCCCTTCCCGCACGCTCCGATGAGCACAGGCTGGGCGTGCCCTTCCCCGTCCTCTGCGCTGTGCTGCTTCCGCGCCCCTCGCTGGCCCCCTCTCGGTGACTGCCAGGCTCGGACTCGCCGGGTCGCCCCAGATCGCTCTGGTATGGCAAGTGTACTGTCCCCGCGGCGAGGGCTGGGGACCCTCGCCGCGGCCTTGCGGCATCGGTCTAGGGTGGGAGAGGGGACACGCCGCGAGCAGTTCTGTAGCCACCCCTCCTTACACACATGGGGAAGTCGAGGCCCACCGTCACAGCACGGGGCAGTCGGGGCGCCAACAAGGGTCACTGTCAGCGAGCCCAGCGGCCGAGCAGACGGAACTCGGCTAAGAAGCGCCGCATCTCTGGCGCCTGCTAGGTGCGGGTGCGGCAGACAGACCCCGGCCTCCAGCGCCAGCGGGGGGAGCCGAGGGCGGGGCGGACGGCGCGGCCTCGGCCCTTTAAACTCTGCGCGCGGGAACCGCGACCCAACAGCCGCGGGCAGGCGGGGCGGGGTCGAGCGGGGCGCGCGCCACCCCCNCCCGAAGCCCTCCAATCAGCAGCTCCCTCGCCTCCCTGCGCTGCCCGCCCCCCGCACGTCCGGCCCTAACACGCCCTGCCGAGGCCGGGGGCGGGGCTCCAGGCGGGTGTGTCCGCGCGGGTGCCGATGTCGCGCGCTCCCCCGGAGTTTCGAACGCAGTTGGCCTTCGAGGCAGAAAAAAACACAAGAGCGGTGGCCAATGGCGTGGCAGAAAGGACCCGCGCGCAGCCCTGGCCCCGCCTCGCCCGGCAGCAAGGGAGTCCAGACCCGGCCATTGGCTCGCGCCCCCTGTCACTCGCCGCTGCGGCCAGCGGGCAGGGGCCTCGCGGTGATTGGTTCCGCCCAGGCGCGAAATGAAACGCGGGAAAAGCCGGAGCAGGCACCGCGGCGGCAGGTTGTTATTCTCGGGGGCTCGGCGCCGGTCGTCCTGCCTCCCTGTCACCACAAGGGCCAGGCCGCCCGCTGCTTCCCGCCGCTGCAGCCTGCGCCGGGGAGTACAAAAGAGCGGAGGGTCGGCTTGACCCAGGCTGCGATCCGACCCTGCCCGCTCGGCAACCGGCCGCTGCGCAGGATTCCGGGGAACGTCCGCCTGCCATGAGCCGGCGGGACTGAGCCGGCGACTCGGAGCAGCGCGGCGAGCGAGCCAGGGCCGGAGCCGGGCTCGGAGAGCGGCCGGGACACCGGGGCTGCGGACTGGGCTGGGCCATGATCCGGGGCGTGGAGGCGCCCATGGCGGACAACCCGCCGCCGCCGCCCGTCATCTTCTGTCACGACTCCCCGAAGCGGGTGCTGGTGTCGGTCATCAGGACGACCCCGATCAAGCCCACGTGCGGCGGCGGGGGGGGGCCGG